TTAAAGATGCTGTGGAGGTTAAATTATATAATGCATGTAAAACTCATATCCTTGTGGGCAGTAAGTAGTTTAGGAAGGGTAGAAGCTACAGAGAAAGGCATGTAAAGCCACTCACATGATTTTTCAATGAGAAAGAATAGCATCTGATATTTAAGCATTTAATTAGAACAGAAAGAAGTGCAGGCAGAGAAGTTCTGGTTCTGGTTCTGATTCTGGACAAGAGGAATGAAGCACCGTTCACCTTGTATCATCCCCCAAGTGCAACGGAAAACCTGGAGAGAGTCCATGGGGCAACTCTCTGAGGCCTCTGGCAAGTAGACAGGTATATACTGGAGAAAGAAAAAGAAACTTGTCAAAGTGAATATGGACTGGTAACAAAAATTTCCAAAGGCTGGTCAGTTTAGTAAATTTATCTTCCTTAAGTTTCCTGCTGACTGTCCAGGGCAGAATTCAATCACAACCCCAAATTTTAGAACCTCATACAAAGTATGGGCAGAAGGCTCTTCAAAGAGAAGTCATTAAATTCTGGTGCAAAGAGTAAGAATGAGAGAAGCTACTGACCAGGGAGAGTGAAATAAATCCTGATTTGTTTGTTTGTTTCATGCTTCTTTCTTTCTGTCCCATTCCAGCCACCAGGCAATCTCCAGGCCCCAAACTGTAATCCCGCAGTGGCCATATGGCAGCTGGGCAGGGACAGGGCAGATATGTGATGCTTGCAGACACCCAAAGCTCTGGAGGGAGGAAAACTCTTCTCTCACACCAGAGCAATTATTATCTGAATGAGACAGAACAACCCCGGTTGCTTTCAGTCTCTTCCTGGCTGTGGACCCCAGAAGCAGATTTGGTTGCAGGAATTGGTACAAAAGAGCAAAGAGACGGAAACCTCAGCTTTCTAGCTACAGGACAAAGAAAGGGAAATTGGGGAAGCCAGGGTGTGTCGGAAAGGTGGAAGAAAGGAAGCAGCTTGAGGAAGGGACCCCCGTAAAGTCAGGTGTCTGACAAGAACAACGTAGATGAGGGGCTCAGGGTTTAGAGCTCTCAGTCCATAGATGGCCAACTCCATTGCTCTGGACCCAAGGTGAGGTAGGCGAGATCACGCGTCATGCAGAAAGGGCCCCGTGCAAGAAAGCTGCTCAGCTCCTGAAAAGTCAGGAAGCAGAGAGAAGGAGGAAGGGTCCACAGGGAAGATGCACCCTTCCAGAGCAAGCCCCCAGGGATCTACCTCCTCTAGCTACAACCCGCCTAGCTACAGGTCCCACCCAGTCATTCAAACCAGGAGGGACTGATTTGGTTACAGCCCTCACAGTCCAATCACCTCACCTCTGAATATTCCTGCACTAACAGGGGCTTCTGGGGTACACTGCCCCTCCAAACCAACCTTGTGTGGCTTCTGGGCTCGCTCACCACAAGCTGTGCGTGCATGGATCTTAATAGCATGCCTGAGCCTTTCAGAACTAAACCACAGAACTAAACCATTGCCACATAGCATGGCATTCAAAATGTCTTAAGACACATTCCACACTCATTCATAATAGGGGAGAAAAATCAAATCTCAACAACTCGCAGAGAAAAAAAAAACCATCAGCAGACACCGATCAAGATAACTAAGATGTCAAAATGTCAGACAAAAACTTTAAAGTACTTATTATAATCATACTCTGAGGAATAAGGACAAAAGTACTTAAAATGAAGGAAATATGTAAAATCTCAGCAGAGAAATGAGAGCTTTTTAAAAAAATGAATAAGAATATTAGAAACAAAACTACAATAACCCAAATAAAAATTCCACCTGATGGACTCAATGTAGTACCAAGAGAGTCAGTAAACTCAAAAAGAGATCCGTATCAAGTAAACAATTTGAAAAATAAAGAGGAAAAAAAAAATGAAGAAAATCAGAAGCAGAGCCTAAGGAAAGTTCAGGACAATTCCAAAAGGTTTAAAATTCAGGTCAGGTAGGAGATGAAGAGAAGTATAACTGTGCTACAGAAAAATTATAGGAAGCAATAATGCCCCCAAATTTTAAAGCAGAGGAACATTCTCCAAATATTGAAAACAAAATAGCAACAGCAGCAACAACAAAACCATGAATCCAAAATTCAAATTTCTATAGACACCAAAATATTTTTCAGGAATAAAATTGAAATGAAAATATGGTCAGAAAAGTGGGAAACAAAAAAGAGAATCCATGACTAGCAGAATTGTGTTACAATAAATGCAAAGAAAATGTTCTTTAACACAAAAGAGAAATGATTATAGAAGATAGAAGAAAACTTGAAATTTTAAGAAGGAAGGAAGAGCAACAGAAATGGTAAATATCTGGGTGAATTTAATAGAGACGGGTTTTTTTTCATCTTAAGTTCTTTAAAATACATACAGTGGTATAAAGTATCTACAATTGGTGTGTGTTTTGCTGATTTGTGGCATTAAAGGAGTTGGTCCATTTGTGTGCATTTATGTGTGTAAGTATCCATTTAATATCTGTGGCACCTGTAGCAATATCTTTTTTCGTTCTTATTCCTAATAGTGTCTTCTTGGTGTTTTTAATTTTGGTTATTAAAGATTTTACAACAAATAGGGGGACATTTTCATTTCTTTTGGGAAAATACTTATGAGTGGAATGTCTGATTAAGGCAAGCATATGTTGAACTTGATATCCCCCCCAAAATGTCCCCCCAAACGAACCTCATCCATATCTCATTCCTTATACAAAAAAAATTAATTCATACATCTAATTTTAAAACTATGAAATTTTCAGAAAATCTTTATACTTGTGTGTTAGGAAAAATGCTCCTATATATGATATTGGTATGATATCATACCAATGGATGATTCATAGAAGAAAACATTGACAATCTGCTCTTTATCAAAATAAAAACTATTTCTTTTACTAAAGACACTGTTAAGAAAATAGAAGTTCAAGCTACAGCATGAGAGAAAATAATTGAAAGTCACATATTTAACAAAGGTCTTACATCCAGAATATATAAGAAACTGTTAAAATTCAACACTAAGAAAAAAACAAGATTGATGGACAAAAAACATTGAAGAAAAATAGTTCTTGAAAGAAGATCTACTGACTACCAAAAAAAAGTACGTAAAAAGATATGCTCTGTTAACATCATTAAGTAAACTGTATTCAAGGCTGACTACAATACAGAATGATTGGAACTCTCACCCATTGCTGATGGGAATACAAAATGGTACAGGTACTGCCACCCTGGAAGACAGTTGCTTATAAAGTTCAACATATGCTTGCCTTGATCCACTCCTAAGTATCTTCCCAAAAGAAATGAAAACACGTCTACGAAAGACTTGCACACAAATGTTTCCAGCAGGTTTCTTTATAATAACTGAAAATTAGATACAACCCAAATGTCCATTTACAGAAAAGTGGTTCAGCAAATTATAGTACGTTCATATGGTGGATTACTACTCAGCACTAAAAAAGGAATGAAGTATTGATCCACAGAACAACAGGGTTGCATCTCAGTGGCATTACGCCAAAAAACGCTAATCCCAAAAGTTATATTATGTGTATTTCATTTATATAACATTCTAGAAAGGAAAATTAGCAGAAACAGAATGTCCCAGTGGTTCCTAGGCATTTGGGGTGGGAAAATCTTTTTCGGAAAGGAACAGAACAGGGAATATTTTAGCTCCTTCATACTCTTGTGTGTCATGATCACGGTGGCGGTTACGTGAATCTATGTGCATGTACTAAAGTGCCTGGGACCATACACCAAAAACTAACTAGCCTTGTTGTTTGTAAATATTTAAAATTTTTAAGAAATCTATGTTGGAGAAATAGGGACTGGCTTATGTGAAGGTCAGGTTTGCCTAGGCATTAAAGAAGGATGATCAAGATTAAAAAATGGGTGAACAGTTTCTGGTTTGGTGACTAGCATGAAAATCAGTGACATACTTGCTGAACAGAGATAAAGATGCCTTGGTTACTTCAGCAGTCCTTCTTATCTGGGGTATACATTCTAAGACCCCAAATGGATACCTGAAACTGAGGGTACCTAGGTTAGTCTTTTTTTTTTTAAACTAAAATCAAATACCTAAGGATGAGTAACTTTTTAAAGAAAGGAGGTTTATATTGGCTTATAGTACAAAGTCAAGGGCCTACCTCTGGTGATGTCTCTCTTGCTGGCAAAGTTCCAAGATGGCACAGTGTATCACCACTTGGCAAGAGTCATGAGGTGTGTATATATGGGTTTACTCCCCTGGGTTTACTCTCTTTTAATCAAAGTACTAGAATTCAGTCAGGAGGACTCCACCCTATCTAACCGAGGCCCATCTTGAAACACCAGAGTCAGATTAAGTCTCCATTCTTTTCATATGTCACAATGGGGATTAAACTTTAGTCCTTGGGGGACACACTCAAACTGTAGGCAAACCAAGCAATGCTGACCCTTATGTATGCTTATGTATGCCACATTTTTCTATATATACATATCTATGATAAATGTTCAACTTTTCACTTAAAGGAACAAGTTGTGGCTTTTCTTGGGCATATTCAAATTGCCAGTGTCACTAATCTTATTCTTTGTGGACATTTTTTAGTAAAATAAGGTCTCCTTGAAGACAAGCACTGCGAACCCAGCATCAGTCAATCTGAGAACTGAGAAGGCTACCAAGGGGCTGAGGGGCAGTGGGTAGCTGGACATGTGGGACAAAGGGCCGACTCATATCCTGGGTAGGTTGGAGCAGGAAATAGTGCCACTTTTCATCATGCTATCCAGAATGGCGTGCAATTTAAAATGTATGTTTATTTCTGGAATTTTCCACTTAATATTTTCAGACTGTGGTGGATGGCAGGTAACTATAGACTCATAAAGCAAAACTTTAGAGAGATGGGGTGAACTGTTACATTTGAATAGCTGAGGAAATACAATTATGAACCAGAATTTTCAAGTAATTCAGAGGTCAGATTAGGGAACAAAATAAAATGTACCACATTACATACTGATTCCCAATATGCACCCCTATGTACTCACACACAGCCCAAAAGATGGATGCTCAATTGCTTTAGACAGCTTTTTTGCCTCTGTGACCAAAAGACCTGGCAAAAAAAAAAAAAAGTTATAAAAGAAAAAGTTGCAGAAGTCCCATTCAGTAGACCGAGGCCAACTCCTTAGCTTTGAGCCTAAAGTGAGGCAGAGCATCATGGCAGAAGGGTTTGGTGGAAGAAAAGAGCTCAGGGTATGGCAAACAGGAAATAGAGAAAGACAGCTCATTGAGGACAAAATATAAACCCCAAAGGGAGGACCCCAATGAATTATCTCCTCCAGTCACACCCTACCTGCCTAGAGTTATCATCCAGTTACCCAGTTACAACTCTCATAATCATCTCACCTCTGATTGTTCTTGCATTGTCTCACACATGAGCTTTTTGGAGATGCCTCATCTCTAAATCACATCAACAATGCGTGACATTCTTCAGTTTACATAATTATATTTGATGACATTCTCCAAATCTCTCAAATAATTAGCAATTTCTACAAATTTAAAATGTAACTCAGTGATGGGCACTTAGTTAAACTTAGTCAAACTAGGCTGTAGCATAGTTTGAAAGGTTCTGGTTTATTGGTAATACCCTACATACCCTTTTATTCTCATAAAAAAGCATCTTAGAATTTTATAGATAATGTTATAGGGACTATCTTGAATCCATCATAGGTTTTAAAGAAGCTAATTCACAAAAAATTCACAAAATGTAGTACTTTGGTTCAGATAATTTGACTATTTTTAGTAATAAATTACTTGTAACACTACATGAGGTTATTGAAACCACAGAATGAATTTTCATAGTCATTCCGGTAGGCACTGGAGAAAGGTGACATTATCTCCAGGATTGTGGCAGAGTTCATCCTGTTGGTATTAAATGTGAATAAAGCAGTCAAGGTACTAATCCTTATGGAGCTCTGAGTTTGGTGAATTTGAAAAAGAGATATGTATGAGTCATAGTTAGCAAGAAACAAGACTAGGGAATATGGAGGGGAATAGAGAAGCTTATGCTGCCAGAATATCATTTCTATGTGGATGAGAAAATTGGTCAAGATGCTTTTTCCTTGCAAATTACAGAAATAGAACTCAAACTGGCTTAAGCATAAGACGGCTATCATCGGCTCATGCAATTGAAAGTCCAGGACTGTAAAGAGGTGCTAAGTATATCCCATCAGCAACCTACCTCGGCCTCTCCACCCTGCCTTCCTCAAATTGCCTCTCCCTACGTGACAGCAACATGGCCAACAGCAGCCTCATGCTTATCTCCCACTGGCTTACAATTCTGGAGCAGGAGAAATCTGTTTCCACTTTTCCAAAAAGCACAGGACTGACACTTATAGTCTCAGATTGGCCCATAAATCTATAATCATCTCTGATGCCATTCTTTAAATATGGAAATAATGAGCAAAGCCAAGCCATATGTCCATTAATGACTGTAGTCATTCAAATTTGAACTGAGAGTAGGAGAGTGAAGATTTATCAACTAACCGGGCCATTGTATTTGAATGAAGAGAAAGTGGTTGATGGAAAGCAAAAATACAAATACAAGTCTCCTGGAATGAGGTTGACATGGGAAGCCAGTCACTCCTGTTTAGATCCATTAAAAAAGACCCCAGGAAGGCTGTAAACTAGAGTTCTATTTCACAAGTTTACCTTCCATAGGTTCTTGTGTTAGCTAGTTTTTCATTACTATAATAAAATACCTGGAATAAGTAACTTAGAAACAGAAGACGTTTACTCTGGCTCACCATTTTGGAGATTCCAATCCAAGATCAAGCAGCACCATTGATCTGGACGGCTGGCCAGGGTGGCACAACATGGTAGGAATGTATGCAGAGCAAAACCACTCCCATCATGAGCCAGGAACCAAGAGACAAAGGTCTCCCGAGTATCATCCCTACCTGTCTCTGAACCCCTCACTGTGAACAGGCAGTTGGCAGGAGAATCAAATGAGATCTATATTTCATGTAAGATGCTAGTGGAACACACTATTGTTGTTGGCATCTTACAAATTTGTCTTGCATTATCAACTCTATTTTGCATACTCCTTGGGGGAAGAGAATGATCTCTCATCCTGTTTGGCCTCCCAAAGGGCCTTGTGCAAACTTGGGCAAACAGTAAGTTCTTCCTGACGTCTTATTAAGTGAGTAAATTGGTGAGTGAGCGAAGGAAGAAATGACTTTGGTCTTCTTAGATTCCTATACGAATTCCTCAGAATGGTTCATTTTATCATGATCAAATTTTTAACATCAATGAGCAAAGATAAAAGCCTGATTCTCTGATCTCTAGAAATATTATGTGTCGTTCTGGGCCCTTCCTTTAAAGAAGCTGGGGGAAGTCAGGAGGAGGACATCGAAATGATCAAGGAGGTG